TGTTAAGCTCTAGCCACCAGTTTGTCCCGTCTCGGGAGCTGACGTTGGACAAGCTGTTATGTGCAAGTTCCATCTGAGGAATGCATGTTTCAGTGGAAGGCAAGTGGGTGCAGCTTGTTTGTGTTTGTACATCCACGGCCAGGTCTCTGAACCCTGAGGCTATTTGTGAACGCGAATTTCTGTGTACTTGGAGAATTGACAAAAAATGCTGCAACTACAGATGGTACCCTGGAAAAAGGAGCACTTTGCATCTGTTTGCTATGCAAATTAATTCATTTAACATTTGTTGACAGCAGGTCAGCTTAGCACAGGAATCAGGCAAGAAAGTTGGCAATTTAGGAACTAAGTTTTCTACTCTGTACTCTTAGAAGTTAAAAAATCCAAGGGAGAATGAAAAGTAATTAGGCTGAAAACAGCAATTAAGCCCAGAATGAATGTCATTTTTAAACCACTAAAATCCTTGCTGCTTCTAGAGAACGAGGAATCATAGAGGATATCTACACAGAAGTCAAAAAAGATGATGTGACTGCAGCAGCACTCTCTGACCCACCAGTGCAGCACTGCTCTAAAACACAGGTACCTTAGGAGAAACCTGGAGACACAGCAAAGGTCTCCAGCACTGCCTGGGTACATGTGCCTTAGCTCCACCAGTCCCACAAGCAATTCAACTTGTACTCTTCTCCCAAAGCACCTTAATGTCAAGGTTAAAGTTGTAGGAAGGATCACGAAATGGCCCTGTTAAGATGCACCAAATCATTACATTAATTAAACTGGAGGAGAGTACAACTGAAAAACTAATGCTTCTGGATTGCAATTCTCAGTAGGGATATAGGAGTTTATAGAAGGAGGAAAAAAGACTAGAAAAGACATTCTCCAGATCCTTGAAAGAATAAATACAACGCAAAGACACGAAACTTCTACCCCAAATGAAATAAAGGAATATTTGTGCATATTTAATGATTGTCCTAGCAAATGTCTTCCTTATTTCTTCCCCAATCCCAATTTTCCATAACCAAAAGTCCACTTCACTTCAATAAACCAATCTGCTTGGTTTTCTACTACTCCTTTTCAGATTTCCACCATACCTCTCAACAGGTTCAAACAGAATATAACAATACCTTTATACAATTACACCCAGGGTAGCATCTATCACAAGGCTCGTATCCATTTTAAATAGTAAAATTATCAGGGATATTGCAGATCCATTCATCATAGCGAGCCTGCCTCTAGAAACAAACCAGAGCAATGTAAGAGGAAACATCTTTTTCCTCATCTCAGGACAAGAATGGACACAAAATTACCACCACCTGCACTAGCTTCTGAAAGCTTCAGTGTTTCTTGGAAAATACTGCAGAAAACGCAGACAATAAATTTAATTATCAGATCACAGTTGGCAAATTGGCTGTGCTGCCAAGTATTTATTTTGCAAAGGGGAATACAGGATTCCCAAAACATTTGTTTGAAGAGAGTTTTTGGCAAGTCAAGTACAGAGTTGGATGGCACACAGAACCCACTCGTCATGTCCCAGGTGATACGAGGATTCAGAAGATCCCTACAACAGCCACACTCATGGGAGGAGGCTTGGCTTTGGAAGGAGTCCTTAAAATAAACACTGTTCCCCAAAGTCAGGGGAAAACCTTAACGAGTTGCATATTCTTCCTCTGACTACTGGCTACGTAGACGCTGTCGGCTAGCTATGACAGCTTGGTATCGTTACGTATCACAGGTAATCCCAGAGTTATTTAACACATGGCAGGAGAGAGAGATTTAGAATTACTTTATTGATAACAAACTCGGCAGAGTTTCTGATTTCCAGCTTGTAAATGACCAGGTCCAGTGTTACTCAGTGTTCATGCACCCGGCTTTCTCAAACAGCAGCTCAGACACATCCATTCTTTTGGCCATACAGACTAAATCAGCATCAAGCATCACAGATGGATTTTTGTGAGTTCAGAGTGGGGAGAAATCAGGGCTATGCAAAGCCAGTAAGCTGCCTTAGCTTTCGTATGGGGCAAAAGAGTGCACGGATTGTGCCTCGTCTCCTGCCAAGTTGATTCCCAAGTATAGCAACACTAGTGCAGGTACAAACATCTTCTAAGATACTGGGCCCAATTACTGACCCCTCTGCTAACGCATCCTTCCATCCCACGCATAGCTGCAGCACTACGCTATCTATCTGTGTTGCTAATGCCAGATGTCAATCTGCCCTTCCATCCCACCCTGGGATGGATCAGAATTTGAAGAGGTAAAAGCAAATAAGTGGGTTTTGGTGGTTGTTTTCTTTAATTACTTGTTATGAATTATTTTGAAGTAAGTGTTTCTAAGGCTCCGCATAATCAAAGGAGAGACCTAGATTAAGAACAAAGTAAAGATGAGAAAGCAGCGTAAAAAAAAACCCCAAGGCAAATAATTAACTGGTAGTTCATGCTGTGAATCACCGAGTTTGAAACAAACTCATCCACATCTGTTGATAAACTTCATTAACTGAAAAAAACGATACTGAAATGAATGCCATCCTGCACGCATAACGCCTGTCTCCTGCTTAGATACCTAAACAGCAGGGACATCTGAAACCTCCGAAGTTCAAAGATTCACTCAGCTGCTGTGGAGGAGAGCACTGCACACACCTGAGGCTCACTTCCACAGGGGACAAAGGAGGCTGGCACACCATCAAGAGGACTAACCTCCAAATTAAGTATCAACTTGGTAAACAGTTTGTAGTCTGCAATAAGCTCCACTGATGGAAAACTGAATTTCTAGGACCAGCTACTGTGTCAACAAAGGAAGAGAAGAGGTTTTTAAACACTGACGTCTGTCAGACAGATGGCTGCAAAAATTTGGTCTCTGCTGGTGTCAACTATCTTATCTTACTGGTGCTTTTAAGGATGAGCTGCAGAGGATTTCAACAAACACCACAATTACTTCCAACAGTAGTAATGATAATTACTTTTGATACCCACATTTTTATCTGTAGATCTGGAAGCGCTCTACAAAAGCTATGTAATATCACACACACTGTAACAAGAAGTACAATCAACCAAAAGACAGCTCATCTCTCACCTACTCCTGCATCCTTGCCTGTTGTTCTGGACTCGCTTTGTCTCACTGCAAGAAATAAGGAGACAGCAAGACAGTTCTCCCGCCTTCCTATGAGGTTGCTCTCTCCACAGCACAGAGACACAAACAACCTACCTTTTTCAGATTACCTTTCCCTGCTAACCTGCCATCACATCTCCATTTACCTTAAGCAACTACTTTCAAGCATGAAATCACCTTACCCCACATCTGACTGAAGCCTCAAATTTTCCACAAGGACGCACATAGTCCCACATGACTTTGACAGCAGAGGCTATAGATGACAGGACTGAAATTCATTTCTCCCCTTCAACAGCAGCAGCAGTTACCATTCACTGGCTGCTGTCCTGATGCAGTCGAAGCTCATCAGGACCGTTTTTAATTCAAATTCTCTAACTAACGTGTCTCAGCACTACTGTGCTCCACAACCCTCTTCATTAGTCTTAAGAATACAATGTCCAAAGCTTCTGCATGCCCTGTAAGACCAGTACCTTACTTTAAAATCTTAAAAATCCAATGAACCAACCAACCAAAAACCCCCCTAATTCTATCCTGGAATGTAGAAGTTCAAGTGGATCCACATGCTAAGAAAAATTCATGATGTGCATTAGGTTAGTCTACTAATGATCAACTCATTGTCTACACTTACTGGAGAATATCATATTCATTCAGATAATCCTTTTATCCCCCACCATGACTAATTTCCTCTTGGAGAGCACCATTAGAAAATGAGACACTAGTAAGTGGAAACCTATGATGTCTGTAGCCTACTTAAAGGACCTTAGTTTCCAGTGGGACTGCAAATAATTTCAGTAATGGGCCCTTCCAGAACACTTTTCATTACTTTCTTAATTTGTGAAGTTACTCAAGGGAATAGTTACTGCAATTGAGAAACCACAAGCCCAAGAAACAGAAATGAACCGACTTCTGAAGATGAATTACTCAGAAGAAATCCGACAGAAGTATTCTTCAGAGCAACAGAAGGTATGATGCCAAATCTTTATTAGTTTTGTTCAGACTAATTGACTTCATGATAAAGCTGAAGCATCTAAAAGGGCATCTCCACTGTTCTATCTCAAAGCAAAATTAAAGCGACTGTGTTTGAAGAACACTGGTTCTCCAGGTTTTTCAGACTGTATTAGGAGTCCCTCTTGACCCCAGCGTCTAGCATGTACTGTCCTGCTCTCAGACATGCAAATACAATTTCTAACCAGAAAAGGCTCCTTTGCAAGGAATATTAGAAATAGGTTCCTAAATGGTCAGTAGTTCAGGTTCTTAACTAATTTCCCGTAGGTTCTTAGTCACTTTAGCTTAAAACAGGACTGCGTCAACAAGAAGTGTTCGCGGCTAAAACTGGATCTCAGTGTAATTTCACAGAAACAGTTCCCCAACACCTGCAAAAAACGTCTTTTGACAGGAGAAGGCCTAAAATCAAGAAGGGAGTTGCGTGAAAATACCCTTTTCAAATATCTATAACCAGCACCATCATGGGAAGCAGAGAAGGTACTAAAAATGTGTAGAGACAGCCTACTGCTCACAGTACAACAGAAATGAAAGTGTGATGCTCAGTACTTGCGGCACAGTTTGCATTGCAAAATGCTTTCTTTGTACTTAGCGTGGCAGTTAACCTTACCTGGGGTCACCCTCCATTGTACCCTGATCTACACAAACCCACTCCCCTTAACCTGGATAAATGAGCAACTCTTTGCACTGAGCCCACTGACACACCTACATGGGTAGTCCTACAACAAGAGGGCCTGTGGCAGGCAAATATCTCCAAGCGCTGCTATTGTGGCCACTAAACTGGGGAACCTCTGCAAAACCAAAAGAAACACATGATATTTTATTTCAAATCAAAATAATTTTAATGAAATCCTAAACACAAGATGTGGTGAACAGATGAATACTTCACGGTTCTGCCTTACCGTAAGCAACCAGAGGTGTTCTTGAAGACAGTTGTCCACTCAGCATCACGAGGCTTAGAGTCCTCATTCGGCTCACTCTCCCAACCTGAATGGGGTATAATCACCTCGTTGGTGAGCGTCTGCAGACCATGGTTGATAATGACCATCTTCAGGGGCTCATAGGAGGATAAGTTCCACAGGGTGCCTGCAGAACAAACAGTGATTGCTAAGTAACAAGAGTAACTACTTAAAAACTCTAGAGTAAATAGAATCACTAGATTCACAGAGAACTGCTAAAAGGCTAAATCATAAAACTAAATGAAAAGGCAAAACCACTTGATGAGACACCAGAGCACACAGCTTAGGGAAAACTACAGAGTCGCTGCAACCGAAACATTTCCAAACAAACGTATGGAAGCTCTTTTATCAAGACCGGAATATTGTTGAAGTCATCAAGCCTTACACCACAGTATATAAATGGGACCTGCCATGGGAGATTAATAGGATTTTTCTGATATATACAAGTTTTGTTACACTTTTACGTCTAGCTATGCCTCAAAAAGGTAAAAATTCATCCAGTGCAGCAGACAAGTACATCGAGCAAGTCATAAAAACAGTGGATAAATTTATGGAGTATAATTGATCTTATGCTTATCCTCTGCACAAGACAATATTTCATTCAAGACTCCTCTTTATTATTTATTTTCACATTTTCCTGTCATAGGGACTATCTGTGTTCGAATCACCTGGTGCCACAAGCGTATGATTCCTTGAAGAAGCTGAGCACCAAAACTCCTTTGTCCTTCCATTTTTACCTCAATTATGAGCCAAAGTAGACAGAAGTCAAACATAATAGAAGACTTTCTGTAAAGGATCCAACTTTCCAACAGACCTGAATTAGTGTGCCAAGAGTTACGCTCGCTATGTTAGGACTGTACCAGGACATGCACTCCAAAGATAACTTCTGCAAAGGCCCAGCCTGGTAACACTCGAGAACTATCAGTAACAACACTGGGAGGGAGCCAGACGCACACTTTTATCTCCAAGGGGAAGAGTGAAAACGTGAAAAACTTCAGAGAGACTGAATGGAAAAGCTAGATTCTCCCGATTCCCCAGAACACACAGGAAATGTTTCCTAAGGAGATACATACCGACCTGAGGCTCCCTGTTCTGTTACTACAGGGGTGAATTTGTGCATAGTGCAGTGCACATTGTAGATACTCACCTCTTAGGATACATGTCCAAAGCAAAACACAAAAAAACCCCAAAAGGAGCAACCTTTTGTTTCAGACCCTTTCAGTCACCCCAAGTTTTAAAACCTACAATTTACAAACTTTAAAAATTACTGGAAATACCCTGGATCTCTTACTTATGTCACACAATACAACACACACACATGGATGCGCTGGACCCCATCAGTCAACGGAAAGCATGGAGCAGTGAGGGAGGCTGCAGCTTGCCACGATCCAGCATGCCAAAGAACGACCAGAGCCCCCGCCCCCACCTCCAAATGAGGGAAGGCAGCTATCCCGTGGGAACTCTCTTCACACTCAGGCTTTCACTGCTATGGGTTAGAAGTGTCAAATGCCAAACGTCCTGTTTTAATATCAGAGTATTATCCATATAGAGTCATGGCAGGTACCAGGTCAGAATGGGAATTTTATCTCCATTTGAGTTGTGACTGGCACTTATACAATAACCTCAACGGCTGATGATTAGCAGAGCCTCAGAAGTCAAGTGCTAGGGCATCTCCTATTCAAAGTGATCTTAACAAAATCCAGACATCTGTTCAGACTTAGTAGACCACATTAATTAATAAAGAAACTCTGAGGTAGACAACAGAATGAACACCACAATGTTTCTTTCAGTCTTTTTCTAAAGCTATACAAAAATATTGCTTTTCTGGCCTATTACCCTGGCCATTCAGAGACAACACACTGTATCAGATTTTTATAACCTACTTTTTTTAAGCTTTAAAACATGACTGTATAGGTGAAATATGAATTCATTTTCTCTTCATCCCCATTACAATAAATCACCCTTTGCCACTGCAAAACTCCAAACAATGGACAATAAGAAAAGAAGCAGAACCAAGCAGAAAATGCTAATTGGCCTCATTTAGTTGTGGAAGAAAGCCTTTACTTCTCAGAACAAACTGACTCAAATATATGCACGTCAGTATTTATAGGACAACAATAGAAACTGACACATAAGCTACCCAATTTATTTTAAATACTTCACTGGACAGTCTTTCTTTAATTATTGTACAGCAATTCCTTAAGCATATCAGACTCACTGATATAAAAATAATAATTACAAGTACATCCCTAAACGCATTGCTCACTCAGTACTTCAAAATTCACCCAGCACTGAATGAGATGGATAAATCCCAGGTAATTATACAGGATAATAATCTCTGGAGCAAACCTAGATTCAAACTGAGAACAGTGGGTGCAGAATACCCTGGTCTGGAGGGTTACGTTAGGGTTCCCTCACAGGATCATAAATGGAGTATTTGGTATTTGCAATAGTCAAAAACCCACTATTAGGAAAAAAAGGCATCAGCTGAGGAACCTAGTACAGTGTTCATAAGGATCCTGCACATCTATTCTTTTGAAACTGCAAAATATCACAACTGGAAACAAAGTGGAGATTTAAGATCATCTGTATGTGGAAGAATGAGGTTTTAAAATCCGACAGCCATCCCCATTTTAAGAGCTCTTGCCTTAAACAAACATTCTTCTTGTGCACCTGAAATGAGCTTGTGCCTCCTCCCCCTTCCTGGAGGAGTGACATAATGTGTTATCTGCATAGTGAAAGCACAAAGGCAAACTTCACTGTTTAAAAAGAATCAGGCAGACACATGCTTAATGTCAAAAATACCTATAAAATTTCCAAGAGCTCTAATATTGCAGGATAGTACAAAAATTTTCCAGCGCTCAAATATTTTGCTTAAGACAGAGATTTGCGTCTATATTTCAATACCTTCAACGTGTAAAATAAAATCATCCCCTCCAAACTCCCTCTTCTCCTACATTCTCATTCACCAGCAGTTATTTCAGGAGACGAAATGCAACTGGGATTCAACAGCATTTTAACTGGATTGCAACAGTGAAAGCAGCACTAAACTGTGGATCTACCCCACACAAGTCAAGAGAGCTCCTGCCCCCGCACACAACAACAAGAGATGTGTACAACATCTCTTGTACACAGTCACCCAGAAATTTCATCAAGAGGCTGACTGCAATTTATGCAATAAACTATTCAGGGCAAACACATCCTGACTGTTGAGCTCATTCACTGGCTACAAAACAGCGGGAACTGAAAATAAATAAGAACGTCTTTCCTCCATCCTCTTTGAAGAAAGAACACAAACCAAACCCAACAGTTTGCAAGCTTTTCAATTTCTCATCTGGTTCCCATTTCTCAAATGTTTCATAAATGTTTCACCAACAAACCGTGAAAAAAAAAAAAAAAAGACAGTCTTACTATAAAGTAATTAGTGCAAACTCTTCAAATTTTTAAAAAATGTGAAACCACTTATATATAAAACATTCTCCTTGATGGTTACATAAGGAAAAGCAAGAAAGTCCCTCTGTCGAACAGCATTCAGCGAAGGAAAACACACAGCATTTAACAGAAAGGAAGCCCAAGATAAACAGGGATGAGGGAATCTTGTGGTCCCAAAGACAGAGAAGAAAATGCAGATTTGAGGTTGACTTCACTGGGAAGATATTCCACAAGAAAAAACACAGGAAATAACGAGCGTTATTTAAGAAAGACATACATCTTAGTCAAAATTATGAAAACAAAGGTCTAAATCACAACATCCTTTCAGCTCTTGAGAAGACAAATTCCATGGAAAAGACACTGAAAGTGACAGCCACAGAAACTGAAAAATAAAGTGAACAGACAGACTATAGGGTTTAGCTGTGTAAGAAAATCTGAGTTAAAAAAATTAAAATCACTGCAAATTTGATGCACATTTTTAAAAATAGTTCCCTGACTATTAGCATAACACACTAATGATCTAACAAGCTGGAAAAACTGTTTTTAAAACTCTTAAGTTTAATCAATTCAAATGAAGAGCACTCAGGAGAAAGGAAGTCACTAACACAGCAGCATAAGGGAAATGAAGTTATCTAAATTTTCCATGCAACTTCACCACAAGTTTTGGCCTTTTTTACCACAAATGGCATGAATTTTAGGACTACAGAAATACAATGAACTATTTGTTTTCAGAAGATGATCACAATCATGATCAATCTGTATTTATTCACAAATACTATTTGTAATATATTTATATATTACTACTCTTTCAGCATATTGGGCAGGGAAAACAGCTTCCAAGTACTGATTATTTTAAAGACATATGGTATAGTAATTTTCAATATAAACATAGCTATCTGATTTACATAATATTAAAAGTGATTAGGCACACAGCCGTAATTCCCTAAACCTCCATCTCCTTAGAGCTGTGGAAAGATTTTTGAAGAAATTGTGGCAGAACACATACATGCTATCATCTTCTGAAATCAAGGGAAATCTTACCCTGCTTTGCTCGCTTACTTGCAAAAATCCCATGTCACCAAGAAATGAGAAGTAGCTGTTGAATTCTCGGCCCATGGTCCATACCAAATCATTTACTGTTTGAAAAAACCAAGTGCTCTGCATTATATTCACCGAGGATTTCTTGTTGCATGTTGGTCCTGTACGTGTTTCTTTGACAGACTCGTTGGTGTTATCATTCTAAGTCATGAAGACTGGAGCTGTGCTTCTTCAGCTTAAGCAGTGGTCAAGTTCAGAACCTCCACATGAACTACCATGCTACAGAGCGCACCATGGACCTTCTGACAAGCCTTGTAATAGAGAACGGAAGGGGTGAGCGCGTCTGTAATCAGGAAGTTGAAGACAGCATGGTACTTCAAGAAGTCAGTGTCTGATCAGCTGACAGGATCTCTGCATACATAAATACCCAGACGGTGTTGAAGGAGGAAGCTGATCGACCTGAAAGTTGCTATTCTAGGACTGGACCAGGGTATTTCCTCTGCAGAGCATTTTGAAGGCCAATCATTTTTCAATTAAAACCAATCTGGCAACATACCACGTTAGGAAAATCATGTTCTGCACCACGTAAAATCAGTGCAATGCCATTAAACAACAAAATTACTTTCAATGTTCTCACAAAGAACAAAATTATTCATTAAATCTACCAACTTCTGATTGCTTTTCAAAGAATGTAATAGAATTTTGGTCTTGCGTATCGGATAGGAACATTTCCTCCACAGAAAAACCTCTTATCAGTCAAGATAAAACTTGTGCAGCTTTTCCAATCAGAACAGATTTAATTCCTTATCAGCCTAACCCTCATTTCTCTCCGTTTCTCAAGAAAATGATCCACTGGAAGTTCAGCAGTACAGTTCCAAGACTACAAAGGAATGCAGGGAACAATTTTGTGGAATATTTCTAATCACAACTCTAATTGTGATTTACTTATGGACACTAATAGTTAAATCAAGCTTTTTCCTCAGTGCAGTACATAGGAGACGTTTCATAAGTCCAGACTTCAAAAAGAAAGAAAGAAAAGCGAGATATGTGGCATTTTATGAATGTATCTTGAGTTTTGAAGGTATTTTTACATGTCTCACATCTGCCTTACCTTGAGGGACATCACGTTTTAGTGCCACTTGCAGATATATCAAGAACATGTGGTAAAGCAGAGAGGCATTAACCCAGAGAAGGTTTCCAAATTGTGCTAAAACCAGTGCTTTCTGGAAGAAAAAATGCTACAGACTCACTTAACATGGCAGTAGTGTTGCGTCAGTATATCCACGCTGCTCCCAAAACTGCACATCAGTACATTTGCCTAACTTCTGTTTTCCAAAACATATATTCTGAGAAGCAGTCAAGTGAACACACATCAAGTCTCACTCGTTCGTACTGTCACACATCCGATTCCTCCCTCACACTCTCCTTCCCACTGCAATCTCCCTCTTGAGCGCTCTGAACATACTGGCGTGGCGGTTTTCCCACTCTACTAACCCAGTGCCCACACCCAGCTGACTGGCGGGATTCAGCCTGCTCCGGACAGCTGCGCTGCTGCATCACATCGCCACGTTAACGAGAGGCCACGGAGCTGTACTACAGCCAAGGACTGACTCTCAAATTAGACAAGAATGATGCTCTCTTTTGCCAGAAAGCACCCTCTCCAGCTGCAAATAACATGCCTTACTGTACGCACCCACGAACCTCCTGTCCTGCAGGCAGGCAGCGTCCCACACCCAGAGAAGGAAAACTTCCAGACTGGGAGTGCTCTTGAATTCAGACATCTGAAGTGTCTTTAAATTACTTACATCTCTCTAGAAAGCAGGACGGTTTATCATTTGTCCACATGTGGGATGACCAGCTGATAATTACTCATCAGCTTTCAAAAAGCAGCCAGTATTGAGTTAGGGAAATAAGCCACAGAAAAGTCAGTGTGTCACACCAAACCTGAATTTGCAGCCTGTTAAAAGACAGAAAAAAGCAAACCCTCTATGCTGTTGTCTCTTCTACAATACACTCCACCCGCCTCCCCCCTCCCCCCCCTTTTTTTTTTGCACTGCTGCATAAATCCCCAGAGATTTCACTCCAGACCGAATGAGGAGCTTTCATGGCAAAGGTAGACTTTGGTTTGTCACTAGGGAATAATACCCGGATAGGAAGTCAAGAGAGCTACCACGAGAACATCACAATTGTGATCTGAATTTTTCAGACTGCAAAACACAGTCCCTTTGTAGCAGCCCTGGCTGAACGCTCCCTCTACCCTTCAAGTTGGCTCTTGTTTCTCTCTGCTGACTTTGGGAGCTCGTTTTTCGAACTGGCAGTTCCACATTATCGGCCGAGGCTTTGAACACTGACTGCCAGTACACCAGCATCAGCCACAGAGGCATTGCTGGAATACTCCTTCTCTTCTGTACTGATGCTTGAATATCTCACACCGGATCTGGTCATATCATTTCAGAAGTGGAATGAAATTATTCCTGGGTAGGTGGAGATTAAATGCACATCATCTGTTGCTGGACATCTGTTTAGGTTAATGCCCTCAGTATTCCTGGTGTTTCACAGTAAGGGGAAATAAAGAGCTTTAAATAGCAAAAACTAAAGTGGAATAGAAATACTACATTTAATTAGCAGGAGCTACTGTCAAATAAAATGCATTTGAACTGTAAAACTAATTAATCAACGGGAAATCAAAACAATCGCCATTTAGTGAAAAGGGAAAACATCCAGTTCGGTTTTGCCATCTCAAAACTGACTGATTACCACTTAGCATTATAATGATATTCCTTCAGAGTAAATTATAGACTGGCTTCTTTCTTGAATCTAAAGACATAAATTTATTCCTTCTCAGCACTCCAGAAATGAGTTTTGAGTAAACTAGAAGAGTAGATAAACAGATATTCTTTATTTAAAAAAAAAAAAAAGAATTAAATCAGCCATCATACTAAATGAGTGCAACAAATGGAATGTCAATACTACCCACAGAGTTTCCATGTTAAGAAACAAAGCACAGACAGCAATCGAAGCACAACCAACACATGCCACTTCGAAGTTCTCTGACAAAACAGACAGCTCTCCTTTACCAGCTCACTGGAAAAATATCCCTGCTGGTTTCCACCCTGTATATTTAGACCTAGCTTGCTCAATATCCTATAAGGGCTGGGGAAGAACAGTTGGAACACCCAAGGCCACTGTTCGTATCAGAGCTATGATTGCCATTAAAACTAGGAGAGCTGCTATAATATTCTGAGGTGATTATAGAATTATGACGTTTCCTTCTAATGGCTTAATCCATGTTTGCATGAGGGTCTGCCTGGAGAATCCAACACTGATAAGGTAGCTAGAGAATTTCAGCGCCCTGGACCCATTTTCAAACTTAAACTTTCTGAACAATTCTGTTCCGGCACTGTAATCCATTGCAACTGCCCCGTTCTCCATCCAAACATCCCCTGCTGCTTCTGAGAAGAGAAAGGAAAATCCATTTCACTCTTCATAAGTTATGGGAGACTGAAGAACAATATATTTCTCCTTAGTTTAAGAGCTGACATACTTTTCTACCCTTTTCCACTTAATGGCTGAACTTTGAAACTTGGCATACACTTTATTACTCTTTTTGGATGATGTCCAAGACTAAGTTCAAATAAAACACAGGTTGAATAATGGAGTTATAAGTGACTGAAAACTCCCCGCAAAGCACGCACGAACTCAGTAACTTCAAAATGTAATTCTCCCTTTTCCGATTATTGCAACAAGCAAATACTCGTGTCCAGAGTATCTCATCAGCAGACTCTACTGTCCTTAAAATCTGAATTTTCCAGCCCAAAAGAACTACAACTTTATATTCCGCCTCAGAGTCCCCAGCACCGAGGGGGTGGAAGGGTACCTGAGGAGACTAACTGTTCTATCAATATGAAGTAGTGGGGACACGGCAGGAGGATTGTTTTAGAGGAGATTAACAAGGAAGGGTTTAGATTAGCACATCTTACCTCATGATTATAAGATGCTGAGGGCAAGCACACTACAAATTACCTGTCAATGAAGTTGCTATAACTCATTTAAGCTTCAGTAATTCAACCACATGCAGTTGCATGCTACATCCAAAAAGCATCATCCATCTCTCAGCAGCCAGGGAATCCCAGTTGTGCTACATACACAGATGATCTCCATTTCCTCCTGAAGGGCACGTTTGCCTTAGGCTTTCTCACACCACACACACAGTGCAGCTAAAGAAACAGCTGCAGCCAGTGATCTAAATTCTCCTTCAATGCTCTAATCTCCAGAATTTCTTGTTCCTGAAGCTGAAAGGACTCCTCTAAAGAATAATTCATTAAAGAAACTACAGACACTGACCTGTAATTAGCTCTCTGACTTCCATGTCATTTGTTTTTCGTAATAGTCTGATCAAAGCAGGGATCCCATCACAGTTCTTTATGGCCACCTTGTTTTCATTGTCCTTCCCATAGGAGATGTTCCTGAGAGCCCCACAGGCTTTACGATGGACCTCCGGCTTTGGATGATCAAGCAGGCCCACCAAGATAGGTATCCCTTTAAGGTGCCTGACGTCCTTTTTGATTTTATCATTCTCGTAGCACAAGTGCTGCAAGTAGGCCGCGGCGTTAGACTTGACTGGATCAATAGGGTGGCTGAGCATGGCAATTACTTCCGGGAGGTCAGGGTCCCTCCACCTGGGGTCTTTACGAATGCTGTCAATAGAGGGGGAGCGCTTCCCCAGACGGTCAATACTAGCCATGCTTCCTCTCTCTGGCTGTGCCAGCGGTGCTGCGTAGCCACCATGAAGGTAAGGGATCCTCTCTTCAACCACCTCTGTCTCAATGGGGTCATCGTAGCCCCTGTAAGAAGCAACAGTCCCAAGAGAAAGAAAAGGGGAGGGGGAAAAAGGCACGTTTAAACACTCTGTACCTCTGAGTCAGCATAGAGATTTCTATGAACAGACCTTTTAATATCACAAACATCATTAGGGGCAGCATATTTACACTTCCAAATAATTTATTTGTACTAACTTCCAAATGAACCACAGCCGAGTACTCAGCAGTGAGGGGACTACCCAGCACAGTATTTGTTTGGCTAGCAATGAAACGATGACAGGCACTGCAAGCCAAGCAGATTGCTTGCATTTTGGTCACCCAGCAGAACAATTATGATAGAGCTGGACCACATTTAGCAGGAAACACTGAGCTTCATTAAAGCTGCTACTTCTGCAACAAACCAAAACTCTAATTAAAGGCATTCAAGGCCTGGGCAGACACCACAGATACTTTTCAGTAAGTCTGAGAAATTCCACTACATTGCCATGTTGAAGCTCACTCAAGTATACTGAATTCATCAACACAGGTAACAAAGTCAAAGATGATGGGAAACTGAAGTCCTGAATCCAAACATGTGATAAAAGTTCACCTCGTACAGAAACATTCAGAATACAGGTAAGACACCGATAGCCAAGAGGCCTACGTCCAGCTTTTTAACACCCGAGCAATATGCTGGACATCCAAGCCAAGTCCAGTACTCTGAGCTTTCCTCTCCAGATCAGCAACTAACCTGGGTGTTAGACACTCTAAAGATCGTTTACAGCATTAGAATGAAGGCAACCATCTCGCTGGGCCATAATTCACTGTGGGTGACTTCAGTAAGGTCAGTCACAGCCAGCTCACACCCCTATTCAGATATTACTGGCCTAGTTCACATAAAGGGCAAAGTTACAATCAACTGAGTTGAAAACATTCTAACACAGCACATTCTCAGACTACACATTTTCATATTAAAAAAAATAATCAGTATTTGACATTTTTTTGTTTTTCTTTAGCAACCACTGCAACTACAATCTCTAACCTCCAAAAACATCCATGTCCTTCGATCATTCCCTACAACTAGCTACTTACAGAGAGAACATTTCTGCAAGATATTTGTAAGGACAGGCATTTACAACTTCCGAATTTGGTTAAGATTGACTGATATACTTCATCCCTTATTCACAGTGGCACCTTCCCTCTCCCAGAACATGCACAGCTCGAGCAGGGAGCTGCAGTGCATGTTATCTCACCCGTCTGTCAGACAGCACTGAAGTCTGCAGAAGTACAAAAGGAAACCCAAAGCTTGCGTGCTGGTCACAAATCCCTCAATTTTGCACGTGAATAAGCCCACAGGGCAAGAAGGCGACTTGCGCCTAACAGGTACGAGCTCCTGAACACACTCAACTCCGCAATGTATCCTCCCTCAGGCTCTGCCCCAAAGGCTCACACCAGCTCACCAACCTGGCTGAGAAGGGATGAACTGCTGAGGTGACCCACTGGGGAGCTGAATCAAAAATCCAATTAATCCCACTGACTTAAACCTCAAGTCTAGGTTCTTCATTCTCCATTTCCTCTAATACTACTCTTAACAGATGTTAACATAAGCTGACTTCTTTTATATATAAATAAAATACATATTTTCTTAAACAGTAGCAGCTTGTACCTTATTGTTTTCTCCTCGATGGGTTAGCTACTCTCTCAGTATTGTAGTTCTCAGTCAAGTAAGTAGTTTTAATTGCTACAAAATAATTCTGGAAAACTTTGATTTTAATCACTGCCTGATGTTACTGAACACCTTCTGATGTCATGCTGAAGGAAGTACAGACCATTAGAACTCAAAGAACATGGAGCTCGCTGCTATCCTAGAGGGACTGCTAATTAAAGTAGACTCTGGGGAGAAGAGCAGCCGGAGGTGGAGACTCAACGTAGTCTCGTACAATTAACGCTTTTAACGTTAAAAGCGCCTCTACTGACTTTAAGTTGCTTTAATTGCTGTTCTAAACCATAAACTGAATGAAAGGATAAAAATGGGCGAGGATCCAAAACTCAGAATGAGTTTGAAGAAATCCTTTTATCGATGCAGTTACTTGTGTATGTATAATTCACTACTTGCTCTACGCAGTAATTTACAGTGTCTGGACAGCCGTAGTATTTTCTGTTGCAGAACAAAGCTGTTTCCATCATGCAAGAAGAAAGTAACAACACTGAGAAGATTTACTTTTGTGCACATACACAGGGCAGAGTAATAACAAAACTCTTAACTGCGCCTCAAACAAAATTCAGGTTTTACATATGCAAATTCTGGACAATCAGCATTAAAAGTGCAGCAAAAACTCATTTCTCAAACTCATCCCCACGTTAAATTCTCATTGACCACATGAAAGGAAAGTAGGAGAGATTAATGTTAATAATTGCCCTCTGCACAGCTGTTGCTTGCCTGACTTGGTAACTCGCAATTTCACACGCCTCAGTCTTGTGAGCTGCCCACAAGGTAATTGTGTAGGTGTAATTGAGGTGGTGCACAGTTAAATTTCTCTCTCCCTCTCATCCATGCAAATACACAAAGACAATAATTGTCTTGGGATGCAGTTTGTTTGCACTGTTTCCATGAAGCCTTCCAAACAGAACCACACGGATGGACCCATCTTCCTCACGCTGCATCCTCTCCCCTGTGCCAGGTAAAGCTCCTTGGTTTCATTACATTTGCCCAAAAGAAAACTTCAGTTGGGACTTTAAATCGTAACACTGTTGTGACAGAGAACCACATAACTCTTGTGCCAACGACACTAACTTGTTTAAACTGTCAAACACTAGTTATTAAATATGAACGTAAACACCTGAAGTAATGGATAAGTCATTACAACAAAGAAGAAAAAAGATCATATCCCGACTTGCTCCGTATTCTAACAAAGTTGGGTTTTTTTTAATAAAAGAGTTTTTTCTTCCATTTTTCTGACATAAATCTACTGATGCACCAAGGACAGTCAATAGGCTTTGATGATCCCTCTCTGATGGAAGCCCCAAGACACAGAGCTGGGGCAGAACAGCATATGGGAAGATGCTGAGTGCTTCATGCTGCAGGGAACATTTCTGAGTCACATTCCTGAGTGCCATGGGTATGGAGAGCTGCAGACAGTGCAGGATCAATCATGCAGGTGGTGGTGAGGAGGGCAGCACTGCCTGGAACCCACTACAGCTGGAGTAAGCCCACGCTGGTCAGATCCAACCTACCACCGCAGGATAAAACCATGCCAAAAGCAACCGGTTAACGCACCAGTAATGAAACCCAATGCCTTCACCTGGCAGCCAAATAACACCTGGACACCTGACCCTCGAGACCATGAATCATTTTCTACAAACTCTGAGATCCTGGTGTGAACGTCAGAGCTGTGCAAAAAAGCTCAGCAAAGGCAAATGTCACATGAGTTCAGATTCACATGACTGAATTCGGTGATCAAGTCTGGAGAAAGTAAAAAAAAGAAGAAAAGAAAGAAAAATGAAAAAGTATCTACCAAAACAACACACAATGTAGTTAAAGGAAAACAATCCTGAAATATTTTACAAGGAAGGCTCTAAATAATATCAGCTCTGCCATCACTTAAGAGCACTGAAGGGAAGCAGTTTACCAAGGCAGATCATCTGCAAAGGAGCACCACAACTGACCAGGCAGCGTGATGCAGGACCTGCCACACGGCCTCTGGCTGCCTTGGCAGAGATCTCCACGCTGTGCGAGCGAATATGGCCTGGCCCACCTCAAGTTGTATCTCCCCTCCCTTTAACAGCAGGTCTGGGGGCCTCAGAAGTGCAGACCAGGGAAACAGTGAAGTCAAAAGCAAGTATCTCAGGGAGTCACACCCAGCTTCTGAAAACAAGAAAGTAGTATCAGCAACACATGGACACACTCACGGAGCAAAATCATCCCTCCAAGTCAGACCGGTGGGGGCCAAAGGCGATTTCTCGCTTTCATGCCAGCAGACTGGCCACAGTGGAAAGGAAAGCCACTCGATGGGAGGACTAATGAGAGCTTCAGGAGACCGTCGTCTGTGCTCAGGAGGCCAGGAGCGCTCCACACTCGGGACTGAAGAGATCCGGGAGTATGCCAGAGTTGCTGACTACAAGCATCTTGCCTTCCATCTGCTTGTAGCAAGGCAGATGAGTTTTTGGGACGCAGTGGGTCTCACTAGTCACCTGTCTTAGGGAATTGATCAGAAGACATTCTAGCATAGATAAAAACTGGAGAGAGCCTGTGGATTTATCATCTTTCTCGTGGCTTCAACATCGGCACATTTGAGTAAACAGGTGAAGGATTTACACATTTAATCCTCAACAATTTATACAAGTGTTACATTCATCATAGTTTGCAGCTGGTGACTGCTTAGGATAAAAGACCAGAACAACTTGGGATTTCAGTAGGGAACTTGGTGCCAAACACTGAAGATGAAATCTAAAGACTGAAGAATGAGGTCCTACTTTTGCCAGCCTCTGTTCGGTGGTAGAAGGACACACAAGAGGATTCAAAACTGACTGAATCTTCTGCCAAGAGAAGTCCCGGTTACGGGCCATATGGTTAAAACACTGAAATCCCCTTGGCTGGAACCACCTAAAAGCTGGATGAGCTGACTCAGGTTGCTGCCTGCCACACAGCTCAGCCGTACGTCAGTCTTCTGCTACCTGATCAACAGAGATCGAATTCACTCTGAGGAGGAGCCTCAGAAAAAACCCAAATATTTTCCGAACTGACTCATTTTTTGTTTCACCCCGTTGTGCCCAGGCACATCCATAGATCTGCCAAAAGCAGAAAACATCCCCATGTTGCCTACACCCTGGTGTTACACTTGGGTTGCATCATTAAACCAAGAGGCAGTGCAGTGAGCGGTACCTCCCCAGCCTTACAGACGCCCGCACGGGCGCTGCCAAGACCCCCCCTGGCATGGGGGAGGTCAGGCCAGAGGTGCCTGCTGACAGGTTCTCTACAAATACAAATCTTTACATTCCAGGCTGAAAAACCACCAGAAGTAGAATGCAACTAACAGGTATGTGATACCAACAGTCTCGCACTGTCTATACGTAACAGAAGCAAGAGAGACCTGATGGTAGAGTTATCTAATCTAAAATCTGGCTTTTCTGATAAGAATAATTTGGACCATGAAGGGACCACCAAACACAGTCTCAGTCTCTCAGATCGGGCCCATGCCATTCACAGACAGTGTAGCAGCACCAACCTGGTTTGTTGTTGATTTTTTAAATTATAAAAATTCATACGCTGTCTAGTCTAGAAGAGTAACACTGGCAATAGCTGCTCCAAGGTTTTGAGGACAGAACCTCCATAAGTGCTAGTACAAGTGCAACCTGTAATGATCCACTCCAGAAAGAAATTACCACAGAGGCAAGAAATAAGAAGTTGAGCAGAAGATAATTCAAAAAAGTAAGATGAATTATGACTTCTTATTTTTCCCTGATCATTTGTGTTAAGTCCCATTTAATGATAGAAAAAAATCCAAATAATAGTAGAGATTTTTCTGTGAATCAAAAATATTCAGGACTTACTGCTTCTCTTTTCAGCAGGACTGTACATAAAACATACAGCAATACCCTAAGTCTACAATAAAAAACCTGCTAATAAAGGCAACCTACAAAGTGAAGGAGGGGATACAACCAATTAGAGATGCGTGAATACCTTCACAAGTAAATCCGAGTAATATTAAATCAGTATTATACAGCCCAAATGACTTTCACTCCAATTTATTATGCAACCTGACTTAAACCAAACCAGAGCACATGCTGAGGAGCAGAACAAAGTGCCAGGTATTGTTGTTACACAAAATAAGGTATGTTACAGCAGAGACTCAGTACAAAAGACAACAAGAAACAAACCCAGCCACCAGCACTGAAGAGCCAACAGAGGGAATATTTGCCTTTGTGCACTTATCTGCATTTGTAGATGTTTGTGAGAAGGCACATTTTCCCCCAATTTAAAATGAAATGTAAGTAGCTTAAAATGAGGCTGATGATGACAGAAGTAAAATAGATACTTATCTCTGCGATCAAATACAGCAGGCAAGGGATGGAAAGAACAATCCCTACTTGTAATCCCCTTGACTAGGACCCCCTCCAGACACAGCTGGCTTGCCTCCTTATCGCACAGTAGGTGAGGCCCACTCGGAGAGGGTGAGTCCTCTCGGACTGAACAGCATCAAAACTAGGAACTGATGACAGTAGGGATCCTTATTCTACCATTAATGACAAATGTGGGCAGCACTTGCTGGGAAGAAGATGAGAGAACAACAGGTTTTTGCAGCAAGTTAGCCAACATAAGAATTCTGTTTGCAACGTGATGAAGATGCCCAAGCTGGAAGTCAGCGAGATGGACAAAAACTCCCAGGGGTGTTGTTGCTATACCTACTCTACACATGCAAACTTTCTGAAATCAAAAGTGTCATGAGTTTTATCACATTCATTTAATCATTTTCACAAGGAATAACTTATTTTAGAAAACTTGAGAGGAAAAATCAAGTAGTAATTACCCTCATCTAGTACAAAGCACTATTTGTAGTCTTTAGTTTCTTGCAGATCAGTAGCATCTGAAATGCAGGTTTATTGAAGTGTTACAGCATTTCTTTGAAATGACAAAAAGTAACTACTTAAGAGACCCTCACACAATCTTCTTATGTTCTCACCAGCTAAACTTTGCTGCCACAGTCAGGCTAATTACTTGTCAAAGCCTCTTGATCATATTAAACACAAAAACACTCACAAGAAAAGAAATGTAAAACAAAAATTCTGAATTAGTCCTGTCGAAACTGCAAGGAACAATAAATCAAAGGGATGTTTGGGGGGAAAAAAAAAAAAACCACAAACCCAACCAAACCCCAAACGTTTAAAAATGCAAATGGGTAGGTTCTAAGAATACATTTAATTATCCACTGTGCATACACTTTGAAAAATGTTAATAAAAATTTAAAAGCACTGCTTCCTGACAGTTGTTAAGGACAACTGTAAACTTGACTTGCTTGGATGCAGGGGAGCTCCAGATAGAGTTCGATAGACTGATCAGTACTTTGGCCCCCACTGACTGCAGGTATTCCCTTCAGCCCCATAAAATATTGAGGTGGTTCCACTGGTTGGTAAGCTTGCAGGATCAAAGATGTCACAAGGGACTTGAAAGGGGTTCTGGGAGATATGCCTTGATACCTTTCCTCTTTCTTTTTTTTCCCCATACGGATGACAACTTGCAGGTACTTGCTTCTATTTAGCTTTAAAATGAACTTGCAAAAATGTGAAGGCAGATAGAGGTATGAAAGTGTGAATGGAATCACAAATGACCTAAGAACCCCAAGTAGAAGCACTCCAAGAGAAGACAGCAAAAAGGCCTGTCCAAATCCCACTCACTACTGCTGCTGAAGGGAAGCTTCGGTCAGAACTACGAGGTGTAAAGACCATCTACACAGCCAGAGGCAGGTGGGTTCCAGACCCCCTTTACAGCTCTGGAAACCACTCTAAACTAAAAGGAAATAATGAGAACTCAATCCATATCAAACACTGAGTCACGAGGATATGACTTCACGCGAGCACACGCAAAAGTCTGTACACAGCTTGAAAAACAAGGTATACAAGTTTTTCAGGTTCATACTCAGAAGATGACTTTCAGCTAAGTAATTCTTTGTTTTTTTCCCCTCCAAATGCAAGAGCTGACAGCTGTGAACCCATCATAAAAATCGAGTATCTGAAAATATGACATAAAATAGAATATCCCTCGGAAAGGGTACTGAACCAGAAGTACTTTCTGACTGGTCACTTGAGTTACACTATCTGCAACACAGATGCTCTTCTCTCCCATTTACATAGGCACAGGACAAAATAATGATCCGGTCCTGCAAAAAGCTGGAAGTACTTCAGTGAGGTTCTGCATAGGCTCGTCACGCAGCTGAGGGTGTGCGGTTAGCCCAGGCTCAGGAGCCGAGGCTGTCAAACACCTCGCAGACATCTTTTATATAACACGGCATCCCTTCACACCAGGGATCAGCTCAGCTGCAATCAGCTGTTCAAATTTCGTCTGGCAGATGTGCACATAACCAGACCTGTCAGAAGTCTCGCAGATTACAAATCCCTCTCTTCACCTTGCTAGTGTGGGATGGCTCTAGGACAACACAGTGCAGTCACAACTCTTCTTCCAGAAGAGTTAAAAATAACATCCCTCTTCTACAAGACGATCTTTCTTTCTAAATTCAACCTGAACTAAGCAGCCCAGAAAAACAGTGAAAGGATTCTTGAGCACCACCCTCACTCCCTTCTGTGTTTCAGGTGTGTTTTGCAGTCTTTTATGGGCTAATGAATTGATGGGTTCTACATGTATTTTCTGTCAAGTAATTCCAGAACTTACCAGACCATTAAGAGTTCCAACGTACATGTTCAAATAAGCAAAACAGCTACAGACTAACATTATAAAAAACAAATGGCTTTTACCTTCCTTTGTGAGGTCTTCCTCTCTCTGGCACACCTGCAGATGTCCTCCGGTTCACAGTGGAGTAATCAGGATCTAGTTCATATCCTTCATCATCTACTCCAAGGCTGCGGTTATCATCTTCCAGTCCATAAGGCTCTGGCTGGAAGCGTTCTGGCTGGGGGCGGCTCCAGTCAACAAGTCAACGTTGCTACCCACTGGCACCTGAGGCTGGGCAACGGGACCGTAGTTATCCCTTCTGCTTGGCAAAGTGAAGCTACCATCATCTGGCCTGTAGCTGTTTCCTGGCACATAGGCATAGCGAGGACGGTAGTTGACACCCCGAGACAAGCTGCCGTAGTTATCCGACAGATCTCCATAACCATCGTGGCTGATATAAGGGCGATACTGGCCTTCGTGGCTTTCGGTGTAAGAATCGTTGTAGCTGTTGTAAGATCTAGTTAACGTGGATGATGCTTGTGGTGTGATGTATCGCTCCCCATTCTTCATGTACCTTCTGTCTATGGAATCCGTGTAGCTGCCCATGGGAGACGAGCCATCCATTGCTGGCAGGCCATCGGGCCCAAGTGGCACCTGACGCACTGTTCTGGTGGTGACAGTTTTGACCATTTTGGTAACCTGTAAAGCAGCAGTGAACAAATATGTTAATTTTCTCCTTGCTGTACAATGTGATGAGACAGACAGGGAACTAGAACAGTAAAACGGGGATAGAGCATCACAAAGCACACTAGAGTGGCGTGCCTACTGAACAGAAGTACTGGTGTACTCATGAGTTTACCTATTAGATGTAGATTTAATAATGGGAAAAAGCTGAAAAGACAGAGTTAGGTACGCTCTGAGCTCCTACTACCAAACCAAAATCACTGCAGCCATGTGACAGCGCGTGGAAGCAGTGCAAAGTCATCACACCACTTCAAATCTGCCCAAAATGCTTTCAGAAGGCATCTTTCCTTGAGCAGTCTTTATGATGTTGAAGAGCCACAGCTTGTCCTTCCCAATCAGCGTAAACACCACATCATGTTCTCCAGTTTGACAGGAATACAGTTCTGTTCTCCTGCCTGATCTGGAGCAAGTCTGTACCACTGCGTTACTTGACAAAGCTCAGTTTTACAGTAATATTTAAGAAACCATGATCGCAAACAGAGCAGTTTTGGGGTTCAACTTTTTAGGCAGCACAACTACCTTCTCTCAAGATATACTTACATCTGATCATCACCATGCCAGCCCAATAGGTAGCTGGCATCATTCCATTATTTTGATGATTAACAAATTTGCAATAACAAACACTAACGCAACACATACACTGCAATTGCAATTACCCTAAACCTGCTGGGCTACACAAGCTTGTTTAAAACACTAAAGAAAAATCTGTACACAAGTACGTATTTATCTTTTCTTCCTATAAACCACATGTTGTTTCACCACAGATAGCATTATACTATTTCACATAACTGACAAAAATGGTAAGTGGTAAGTATACAGAGAGCACTTTTGTTCTTCCCCTTTAGCAAGAAACCCTGAACACAGACTCCTCAAGAGTTTCCAAGAACGTGCTGCTTTCATGGGAAAGGTCTGGTAATCTGCGTAAGACAGTGCTGGACAAAAGCCATTACTATTTACAAACTAGCAAAGGACCTTCTGTTTTGGTTGGTATCTGGGGTCCATCAACTTCTGTGCGGTCTTCCAGGGTGACGAGCAAAAGCTCTTTTGGGGCAAATACAAAGTCCAGCAAAAGCTAATGTATCCTTGGTTAGCCTAACTCTAATGAAGTTGCTTTAACCTATAAAAAGTTACCCCAACCCTAGTAAATACTGACTTTCAGACCCTCTGTAAAAAAACCCAACCAAGCAACATAACACCACCCCCATAAAGATAAGAGGGAGAATCAATCCACTGGAGAGTACTACATGCAGGGAGGGAGGAGCACAGAACAGCAGCGTTAAGAGGTATTTCAGGGTTCTAAAGTATTGCTGAGGAAAATAAGCATCAGTAAATGACACTTTTCTTCGTGTAAGCTCCAGAATGAGATGTGTACATCAAGCAAAACTGTAACAGGTACTCCTGGATTGCTCAGTGGCTCCGAATTCCTAATAGATATTTTGACCTATAGCCTCCGATTTAAACGTTTAGATTGGCACCAGATTAGCCAAGCTGCTGCTGAAACAAAATAATTAGAGTACATCTCTTGAAGCGGGACCAGGCATGTCCTCTAGTTACATGTTTTCACACAGAAACCTGAAACAGAAAAAAAAATCTCCCAAACAGCATTTCTGTTCCTAGAGACATCTGTGAGCAAATGATCCTTCAGCCTAATGAAGTAATGAAATCCCACAAGACTGAAAGCAGCACAAATGGCTCTCCACCACCAGCATAATTAAACAGCACCATGATGCTGAATAAAGCATAGCCAGGTACCAACTTGACCTTAGTATCTAATTTGGGGCAGAGCTGAAAGAATTTTCCTCTTCAACTCACAGGGATTTCCTTAGCAAGTAAAAATCAGGAAAGATGCTAGCTTCTGTGCCTCCAAACCTCCTTTTTCAAAACCACGTTCAATAACTGAAAAACTACAAGCTAAACACTTACTTCAGGACACAGAATCCAGCAGTGGTTTTTGCGTATTACCTGTGCACAACACTTCTGGTTTCCACTCAGTTATCAGCACGAATACTGCCGTGGCATTTAGAAAGCCAGACAGCACTTGGAGAAGAGCTGGCCTGGCTTACAGTGGCTCTTTGTAAAGCGGATATACACAACACAACGCAGCCCAGTATTCTCCTCCTGAAGTCTGAAACAATGGTGTTATTCAAAGCATGCTCAGAAGTGATCTGCTAAGAGTAGAAACAGCAACATTTCTCAGGCCTGAGACACGCAAGTTGTACAATGCAATGACAAAACCAGACCCAGTGCTGGGCCATAGCGTTCCTCAATTTGGGAACCAGTAACGGGAGTAACAGGAAGTAAGGTAGCGTTTCAACAACCTGATGAATCAGAAATTGATACTTTTGCCCAGGAAGGAACAAAGAGGCAGATTTCTAGATGCCAAGAAGAGCACTTGCATGACCTCCCCAAGCCCTTCCTTTCAGCACTACTCAACAGGAGCCAGGTATTGTAAATCTAACTCTGAACTTCGCTGTTCAAGACACATGCCGCCACGCATGCCCGGTTTGTCATGTGTGACGTTCCCCAAAGCGGTCTGGATCAGCCAACGCGAGACACCCCATACACCACGCCTGGCTGCCCCAACAGCACGGAAGAAGGAAGAAGCCTTGACCTGCAGGATCCTTGGGGAAGGGCTTTGCAGAGGGGACATCGCTGCTGCATGCCTTCACCCGGCATTCCCACCACCAACCCCGGGCACTTGCTCCTCTGACTGTTTAATTGTTTTGTCGGGTTTTTTTTGAGAATCATTACCATCAGGCAAGATGAGGTAAGAACACAGAAGCATTACAGCAAGGACAATCGTCTACCAACATTCAGTACGTGCACACAAGAAAGCAGAATTTCAGAACACATTGGAAATCAATTCTGAAACAATTTTTGACCTACCAGTTACACTTAATGAGTTTTTCACTGTGCTCTGGCATGCTGCAGAGTATTTACAAAGATTTTCTTCTCTCTCTCTCTCTTTTTTTTTTTTTTTTTAACATGACCAACACAATGCAGGAGGAACCATTTGTGATTTTTTCCCAATTTGCCTTATTTTCCTGTCCTGGAGCATTCATAGACAAGCATTCAATGTCTGTGGCTAGTCAGAGACTCACTCAGCATCAGGCAGCACATGTAAGAACACATTTGCAATGTTAGCACAGCTTCACCTCTATTATTTTCTGAATGCTGTCCCTAATAACGAGTGGAAAGAATCAGGACAATCAAAACCCCCTTATCAGACATATCAAAAGGAACATTTCACTCAAGCATTAAAGTACACATTTCTCATAGCATAAAAGCATTCAGTAATGCTAAAGGTGTTATGGTGGAGCAATCAAACTGAGCCTTTCAATATTTTGAGAGAAAGAGAGTATTTGCACTCATGCCTCATTTGTCAGGGGTACGGACGGAGATAAAAGATTTATCATGTGATAAACCGACTGTTGCCTACAGGACAATAAAGGGAAGCTTTTTGGAAGCAATTAGCCAGCACACAGAGGAAGGTCCATTTATTAGGTTTCCAAGCAAAAAGCCCCAAAAAACCCAACAAACCCAACATCTTTATTTCAGGAAATCCAGCTCAAGGGATTGTTTCATTTATATTTCTTAAAAGACCACAGGCAGTCTTGAGCAGCTGACAGCACAGTAATCTTCTCTCCCAACATTTTCGTGGTTTCCTTAATACTGATGCATTAGCCAGAGAGAAGGAAGCTATTCCGAATGGGAGTCGCAGCTGACTGTCTTATCTGAGAGACACCTGATCCTCCAGACGCACCCCATCTAGAGAAGATTTATCAGCACAAACTCCTCACTACAGATATGCTCTAATGAAAAATTTAGAGATACAAGTTACTCGAAGTGTAATTTGCCTTTCTCTGTTTACCTTCCACCTCTGAAGAAAAGCTGTTTAAAGAGGTTTTTTTTTAGCCCACTTAGAAATAAAAGATGCTCAATTGTTTCAGTGCTACAGTCTCAGAGTACCAGATGAAACCTTTGGACTACTTCCCTATGAAAAGATTGAGTATATTTAAAATTACTTGCAATTCTTTATTCCCTGTAAACAATATTGAGATTTGAACCACAGTAAAAAAGGAAAATGTTCCAATATACCAACTTATTCAGGCCCTCTGCAAACAATATGCTACGAGACTGCAGGTTAGTGCTTTAATTGCTGCTCCTCCACGCCAGGATGTAAGTACATTGCAGTTTACTGACTTTAGCATTGTTCTCCCCCCAGATAAACATTTAGGTTTTTTACATAATTCCCCTACAGGCCCTATGACCAACAGAATTAGTTTGCACTAATTCTGTTTCTGGAAACACACCTGCCAACAGAACACAAAAGAAATATTCACATATCTGAAGGAGATCTTGTATTTTTCTGTCCCTCGTCCGTCTGTTTGTCTTGAGGGATGGGAGAACAAACATAAAAATATCCAGCAGTTGGACTTACTGGATGCACGTTCAGATGGTACAAGTGGATCCCTCAGAGCGCACAGTGCTCAGACACCAGAGGAGTAAAGGCAGTGCTGAGATTTTGGCTGAAGTGGGCTATCGAGGTCAACTGTAGTCATCTTAACCAGAACTTATAATTTGCCTTTCATTTTATACTGAAGTTGGTTTTCTCTTGCCCCACCCCCCCTTTTTAAAAATAAAGGGCATTATACAAGCTGACAGGGCTAAAAATCATTGAAACTATGTCATGAAACAAAAAACAGATGAGAAGGAATGCATGGGGATAAAAGCATTCTGACATTTCTGAGAGCTTATTTTTGAACTATGGACTGTAAAAATTAATCAACCCAAGCAGGTTGAAGTGATTACCTCTCTATTAAATGCTCAGTAAGAACTGTCCCCGTAGGTTTTCAAAACAACGGCTCAAATTTCCCCCCTTCAATTTTAAGCTTAACGTTTTGCATTCCGAAAGGGCCCTCATCTCTGACTGAAATCCATTCCGGCTCTATTACCCAATTCCCCTGCATTTTCTACAGAGTTCTGAAGAACGACATCTCGGGGTGCCCGGCACCACCGCAAGCATTTGCCCATCGCTGGTGCCAGGAAGCGGGAGCAGCAGTTACTCACTGAAGGGAAAGACCTGGCCTTGCGAGTATGAGAAAGCACAAGGCAAACGGGTGGACTACAAATGAAATGACTTGATTACAGATCGATTTCACAGTTTGTTACCATAACACATCATTTCCAACGAATAAAAGAGACCTCAATCTCTCCAATCTTTTAGTATGTCAAAAGATAAAAATAAAAGGTGCCTGAAGAAAGAAAAACCGCAAAGTTTAAGACAAGCACACGCACATCTAATGTGCTTTACGGAGTTCTCCTGAGCCACTTGCAAACAGGCTGCCTTTACCACATGGCAGCGTTCCAGCCGACAGCCAAGTCTCTCCCCAAGGTGACTTTCACTGCTCTTGCATGATAGGTATTTGGCTTCCAGAGAGATTATAAAGTAGAAATGAAGTATTATCTGCTACATCTTTTGTGCAGTGAATGTTATGTAGGGACTTAGTAGCATACTAAGAATAACAGTTTGAGGAAAATTACTGAGAGATATCTCATTTTGAAAAGACAGATGTTCTCTATTTAAAATATGTCAAATATTAAATGCCTTCTTCCTGCTTCACTGCTACAGGCATCTTCAAAGATGTGGGGAAACGCACAGCAAAACTGTCAATGCTTCTAGATTAAGGTTGTTTACTTAATACACTATTAAAGGGAATAACCTTTATAAATTATGGTTTTGAAGCAACAGGGGAAGGAAGAATAAAGGAACAGGAGCATTCATGTTTACAGCCTCTGCTATGCTTCTTTTCAAGAGGAGGAATATCAGAGGCATCATTCTCCAGAAGCTAAAGATTCATACAATTCAGCAAAAACAAATGACAATGTTCTTTTGAAGAATCCAAAACCCGCGTACTAAATGGCATTAGGTAGGCTAATCCCCACATAAGCTACCCAGCGAAGAAATCATACACTGGGAAAACATCTCCTGTCTCCTAGGCTTTTAAAAACCCATGGCCTGTGTTTACTCTGTCAGAGAAAGCATCCTGTGCTGCCTCCTTCTTTGCAAGACAAACACACAGGAGATCGTAAAGGGCACTACCCAGTAGAGCTTTCTGGTTACAGGGGTAACAAAACTAGGTTCTGAACCTCTCCTCAAAGCAGCCTAGAGCAAGCCCAGCAATGTAGAGCATAAAAACTGCCATGTGTACGTTGTGCTAACTGCCTCGACTTACCGGACTGCTCAAAGTAAAAACAAAAAGCTGCGCATAAACCCAACCCCCTAACATTAAGTGAACACAGTGTGACCATCTCAACTTTAAACATCACCCTGATTAAAGGTTAGATATTACTGAAATAGGTGAGGATTTCCACTGTAGGAAATTTTGGTCCTTTACAAGGGTCAATACCTTTTTTTTGGGGGGGGGGAGGGGGGAGGGTGTGCACGTGTGTGTGAAGTGTTGCTGGCTTTTTGGCAGAGTGGTGGTTAGTTTTTTTCCTCTCCCCCTCCATTTTTTAAAATCAGAGAGAGAACGGGCAGAGACAGAGAACAGCAGTTTCTGCGGTCAACAAAGCTCCTGCTACTGCACGCCCAGCAGACATATGTTTGCATGTCTCACCCCACAGAAATGCTTTACTTCACCGCCCTCATCTGAGCAGCAAGGTCAGAATTTTGGCACTGCACAGAGGTATCCGCAAACTTCGTTTTCTCTGTAAGGCACTCACACATGACAGTCTGACCCACGAAAGCACTGTGATGATACCTATTAGAAGTGATAGTAAATCGATGCCAATTAACTCCAGGACACTTAACTGATGCTGTTCAACTCCAGTGACAAGAGTTTTCATTTTCACACTCCCTTCCAAAACAAAAAACAAATTAAGACCAATATGATTAAAAAACATTCTGACCTCAGATTCATATCTAAGAGCTGTTAAATCTATGCCATATTATCACAAGGAAAAGCCAAAACACAACCATGTCAGAGGCACCCACCACCTCAAAGTCACAGCACTTCTGACAGTTCAGGTTAAGCCAACTCCATTGGTGTTTTGACATTTCAGAACCACTTTTCTCAACAACTGGTAGGGGGTTTTTAATTATTTTTAAAAGAGTTGGGTTTTTTAGCCATGAAATATTAGGAAACACCTCCAAACAGTACACAAGTTGAAGTCAGTGGCATTATTTGAAAGAACATAAACGCAGAGCAAGACAGATATACACCCTCCCTTCAGTCTGGACAGGCTTCCATGCCTGGCATGAACTACAGTAACACGAGAAAACCTTGCTCCTAGAAATGGAACAGTAGCTCTAGGGTCACTGTTTCTCCAATTTTCTTTTCCCATATACAAATACAATGCCTGTTTGGAACTGCCGTTCTTCTTTTCTGCAAGAAGATGGAAAAGCAGCAGGTACGCCACACAGAGGAGAAAATCGCACCTTTTACACTATGACAAACACGCAGCTTTATCAGTGGCACGACTATTTCAGACTGACTATTGCATTCCATGTGGTCCTGTTATCTAGGGTCCACTGCAAGGTCTCTCCTCTATTTTTACAGTGGTAGCTATCACTTTATTCCCTTGCATAGCTGCACTTACAGTCTCCTAAAACTATGCACTACTACTAGTGCATATAAAAAGATGTCCCCCATCACTGTAATTTTATCACTTCCTTTCTGTAAATAAGGGTTGTTGCTGCCCTAGAATGAAATGAGCATTTCTGTCAAGTCAGTCCCAGATTAAATACATTAGATTATTTGAAGAACTAATAAAAATCCGGGGGTTTTGGGTTGCCTGTTTTATTTTAAGACCTTCATCGCCTTCCAACAATGAGAAAATAGGTCAGTTATATTAACTTCTAACTAATCGCAACAAACATTAAATCAGATACTCAGCTTAGAGCAACATGTGCAGGCCCACTGACCTCAGGAAATCAACATTCATTTACTCCTACCTGAGGATGTGATGTCCTGAATAGATATCTTAGGGGACTGCAATTCTGAAACACCAGTAAAAATAAACACTGATTTATTCAGTGACCTCTGTTAAACTCTTTTTAACCCAGAAAGCAGTTGGACAGGTGTGGGGTTTTCTTTTTTTTTTTTTTTAAATCAGTGCTGTTCACAAGTTTTCGAAACAGGAATCACCCTTAACCTTTCACAGGACCAAAATGTAACAAAGATGTCAGCTCAACTTCCAAGACCCAAATGTCAAGGTGCATTGGTGTTCCAGAGGCACCCAAATGCATGCGAGACAGCCATGAATAGACAGCACCTTCACGGCAGAGAATGCAAAATTACCTTCCACAAGGAAACAGAAAGACATGAGGAAAATTAGAACACATGCAACCCTTGTAATCCAGCAGAACCTGAGGTACAGGCCACCTGAGCACACCCAGCTTTCCCCACACACGAGGAATAAAATTGCATTGACAAGACTGTTGCAGAATTTAAACACTATGGTGTTATTCAAATAGGCTGTTTCTTGTTGTGAGGGACAAACGCAAAATGGCATACTGTCATTACAGAGCACAATTAATTTAAAGACCTCTTTCCACAAACATTTTCCTCAGCTGCAAAAGTCATTTACTCCAAGCCCTATCAACTCATCTCCAATCTCGTATCACCGTATGTGTTTGCAGGGCAATGTTGTGAACAGTATCAGTAAAATAAAGTGAATCTTAAAAGAATAAACAATCTGGGAAGGGGTTCTAGTGGGTTTGTTTGGTTAACCTGGATAATTTCTACTGTTCAGTGCACGGCTCCATGAACAGCTGTATCAGCACAGCTGATCTGGAGCAAACTAGACAGAGACAAAACTGAAAATGCTCCGAACTCAGCTCCGCTGGCAAACAGAACATTCAAAACCACTGAGGATCACAATAGCACGATTGTCCTTGCTCATGCTACTCCCTGCTATTTCAACTTTGTGCTTCGGTGGTATTTCAGCATTTTCCTCATTGGTTATTAACCTCTCACCTTGGTTTCAGTTCTCCTTGTGGTTCCATCTTCGGAGGTGACAATAGATACATGGGAGGTGGGAGTGCCTGGGTCTTCCTCCACAGTAACTGTCTCTTCCACCATTTCCTGAGGCTCTTGCATCATTGCTATTGATGTCTGGTTACTGGGGCTTTGTTCCTAAAGAAGCAGGTAAAAAAAATAAAAATATAATTTCTCACTTTACCATAATTATTCTATTGATTTCAGCTTTCTCAATTGAAAAAACACGTTTTACCCAACAACTGGCATGTAGAGATTCAGAGAAAGAAGTATTTACTGCCTCAAAAAAGCATGCTGCAACTATGCTGGTATGGCTGGGCTCAGCTCAGTAAATGGAAATCACGTGAAGCGTCTACCAAGGACTTCACAGTTAAAGGCAACCTGCTACAGACTAACAGATTACTACCTTACATTTAAACCTGGTTTAAGCTGTCTCTTGAATCCCCAGCGTACGAGGAGTTAAATTTTTGTCTGCAAAAACATTCATTCTGTTCCACAGTGAACAGGGCCACTGGATTTCAGAGAAGTTAATCATCTTACACACCATCACCAAATGGAAATAAACTTTTATGATACACTCAGTTGCACACCATAAAAGGCTGTAAACATCAAGACCTAATACCAACCTGACACCTTTCTCAAACTGTCCAAAACAATGATAATCTCTAGCTATCTATGTTATCAAATTATCAGCTGAAATATGTGAAATGCTACCCTTCTGCCATGCCATCTTCCCTTCACTAAGCCTGTGAGGCTACAAGATTACTTAACTGGCTATAAGCTTATTTAAAATTTATAACAGCTAGACAACGTAAAGAAACACTAAACAGAAAGAAAGCAGATCAAAGGCAGATTCTTGCAGGGCTACTGCCCAAAGCGAACGCTCCTGCTTCTCGCCAGCACTAATGTCTGAACTCTCCTTTGTCTTAAGCACCTGTGTGTCTCGGCACAGAAATCAGAGAAGCTCCCCTTCGGTAGATGAATGTATTTCAGAAGTTTCACAGCAAGTGGCCAATAAAGAACTGGCTTACACACTGAGAAATAAGACTTTTACCCAGCATTATGAATCCTCAACTACCTGAAATGAAACGACAGACTCTTCATTTTGTTATACCCTGAAGGTATAGGGCTACACAGGCCTCAAAGCCAAAGCAAGGCTTCTATTTGCCCATCTTGTCTAACAGGCACACAAAGAACATCCTTTATTAAGGAATTTCTATATATACACACACGCAGAGACTTTTTTTTTTTCCATTTCAAAAAACCCACCCCAAACCCAAAAGAGGAACAGAATGACAGGGGGTCCTAAATTGCAAAGTGAACACTTTCCCTAAAGAAAATACCGTGACCAAATTCTGTATACCTTTTCACATCACAGGAAAACAAAATGATTGGGATGAAACTGTTGCCATGAAGGTGCTGAGTGTAATTATGTAAAGGTTTAAGTGTTCTCCACCTGTGAGCAGCCTCATTCATCACCAGGGAACGACAACATTTTGTTCTGTACCATTTCATTTAGAAAAACCTGCATTTCATCCCGGTAATGAACTCTGGATTGCTCCCTTTCCTGTGCCAAGTTTTGTGCAAGCCCTGAAGGACCATATCCCTCCGAGTGACTTTGTGCTACTGAGGTCTCATTAAGCTCTACAGGGGAAGTGTCGTTTACTCCTTGCATGATCTGTAGTTTGCTTTGGAACAAGCCAAGGTGCCCCTGCTCAGCTGCCTTTATTTAGAGCTGTATTCTACATTCCACACTTAGGTAAGGAAGCCACTTTCATTTTCAGGTAAGCACTAGCATTAACCAAGACCATGACAATAAGCCTCAGGCAATCATCTCAGTCAAAACGCAACATGGACAGCGTTCAAAGATCACGCATGCTGGACCACCGGAGGTGATACAAACAGGCACTACTTCCATTTCTATTGAAAGCACACTATAAATCTGGCTACAGAATCAATGACAATAAGGCTTCTGAAATCCTAGAGAACATTGCGCCTTCCAGTCTGCAGTACTTAATCATTACGGCCAATAACTTCGGATATATGCTGCATCCTTTGCGGGAGGGTTCAGCTGTCAGATGGTGTCCTCTGCCCACAGCTGCCAAAGGGAAACTGCCTCCTGGGACAAACACATTAATCCCTTCACATTTTTCCTGAAGATATTATGTTCTAACTGCAACTCCCTTTTCCCCACCCCACAGTAAAGCTTCCTTTTAAACAGAATTATTTACACACTATTGCAATACAGTAAAGACTCATAATTTCTATTCATCTTCATGCAACCCCAGCTTTGCCAACAGCAAACAAACCAGATACATGCAGAGATTTTCATTAGACCCTGTCCCTGTCAACCTCCTCATCTCCAGGGCATCAAATGCCAAAACAGCTTCAAGGTGGGACCTTCTCACTCCTCTCACACACATATGTACGTACAGACATCTCATCCATCATCCTCATTTCTCGCTGCATCTTGAGGTGACTGCATGAATTTACATCTCTCCATTCCCCTCTGGATTCTCCAGAGGCTAACTCTGCTTTGTGATAATAAACCTGAGGAGACGGAAGGTGGAAAGAAATATTTTGCTCTTTGAGCTTTTGCGAAACTTTTTCTTTATGAAAAAAATAAATTCTCCCTTTGTGTTCAGACTGCCTGTAGGCAAAGGAAACCTTTAAAGCTGGGCACTTACACATGAGCAAATTGCAAACTAGAGCATATTGACTTTAAATGAGCACTGCGCTAGTTTTTATCCTCTGGCTGCTTCTAAAATGAAGATTCAGAGAGATATGGTGCAGATCTGCATTCCTACAAGAGAAGACTATTGTTAGCAAAAGACTGTCCTAGGCATCAGAAAGAACAAAAGCTTCAAGTTCAAGGTAGATATCCCAACACAGACAGCAAGACTGCATCTTCTTGTGTCTTCCTCACAATGGGAGCTACTTAGGACAACATGTGAGCAGCATGCAAAGCGGACAGCACATCTCCCAGCTCGCTGTTCCCTGAACTGGCTTAGGGAGGCGGCTCTCTGATCTCCTAAACCAGTACTTTCTCCACATCACTGACCCGGAGTCGAGAGAGGCTAACAATGTAGAAAAGAAGCCAAGATTTTAGCATCTGTTTTTAGTTTCCATCGTTAAGCATTTTAGATCATCACAAGTTGCAGAAATTGGGACACATTACCCCTTCCAAGCACCCTCCTCTGTGCTCAGCCAAGTCAGTATCTAGGATGCTCTTTGAGTAAACACATCTCAGATTCCAAACATTTGGCAGGTAAGCCTAATGACTGAAAGTAAAACGCATGTTGCCAGATAGAGCTGGAACATGAAAACCCTAATGAATAACCCCACCAGTAGTTCCCTGCCTGCTAGAGGCAGGTAATTCCAGTTTAGAACAACACACACTCCTCCATTTACCTCGCTGGGGGCTTTCACAGCAAAAGCAGATAGTTCCTCTTCTCCTGCCACACCGGCCAAGACCCTGTGGTCCTGCCTGTACTGTCAAACAAAAGGCTGTTGCCCAGCACAGGAGGGATCTGCCCCACCACAGCAACCGCTGTCATCAGCTGAGCATCTGGGAAGACAAAAATCCAAAAGGGAGCTCCTTTCCAGTCCCTTTCAATGGAAGACTGTCAGGATCCCTGAGAGTCCCTGCAGGTTGGCTCGCTCCTCCTGGAGCTCAAAAACACTGGAGGCACAACAGCTGACTACAGAAATCGTGTCACGGGGCATTAAGGGCCAGCAGCTCCCTGTGGTGCTGAGATGGATCCTTGGGATGGCTGGGCAGGGGCTGCACCGGCTGGAGCCCACAGTGCTGAGAGGGATCCTTGGGATAGCTGGGCAGGGGCTGCACCAGCTGGGGCGCACTCCCACACCACCGAGTAAGGTGAGCAGGACAGACCCAAAATGGCAGTCAGGCCCAACCAAGAGGAAATACCACGGTGAAGAGGGAGGCTCAAGGTCAACCTGGGAAAGGAATCAGCAGGTCAGGGTTAGGATCAGGTCCAGCGATAGCCAGTCAGGTCCACGGTCAGGCTGGGAAGTCAGCCTGCGGTCAGGGTTTAGATGAAGGAGGCCCATGGCCAGGCACAGGCATGGCTGCAACTCAACTGGGAGAACAGCACTCCTCCAGCACAGCCCAAGCATGGGCTGAGGGCACAGGGCTGAGCTTAAATAGAGCTCCCAGGTCTCGGGCAGAAGCCTCAAGTGAAGTTGGCCAGGGTCACTGAGGTCTGTCAGTGCCCTCAGGGATCTGAGGGATCCCACAGCTCCTCCAATATAGCAGCAGGAGTTCTCTTGCAATAAACACCACACATCAAGGTGATAACCCACCCTGGCCAAATTGTGAAGCATTACCCATGAGGTGCCTTTCAAACAAAAATCTCTGGCTCCTTCCAGAAAGATTACAAAACACCACGAAGTTATGAGAACAGATTCCAATTCCATTATTGCATAGGCTGTCAGTAACCACGGCTTTGCTCCCTTCTTTTTTGAGTACCAAGTGAATCCTACCCTGTTGATCTGTGCTTGCTCCAGAGTGATTTAAAAAAGCCAATCTATTTAAAATGCAAAACAACAATCAGTTTATCCCCAGTCTGTAAAAGTTAAGCACAGATGAAACAGCTAGAAGACCTTGTAAAATAAGCGAGAATCATAACAGTAATTCTCATTTTGTTAAAAAACAGAGTGATTTACCATTTAGGGCACACATCTCCTAGGGCTTATTTTGCATTAGAATACTACAGCTTCTATAATCATCACCATTTCAATTCCTAGAGTTATATTTCTATCAAAGCGGCTATTTTATATCTTTTTTTAATAAAAGAATAAACTCCCCCAGGAGGATCAGACATCCTGCTTTAAAACAGTAAACAAAGTTCTTTATTCTCTGCCTATGAAACAATTTAAAACAGTCTGGAAATAATATAAAATTGCAGGAGATTGTTACTTCCACTAAACCAGTCCCTCTTCAAAACCACTGAAAACATGTACATCGAATCATCATTCTCCCAGAGATACCCTTTGTTCAGCAGATTGCAATGCAAGCTATTCAGGCTACGGCTTACTCCAGGCTACTGTCAGATACCAAATTCGCAGCTTTTTGCAAAGCACAAAGGCTGGATTCTACACCAGTGGACATACTTGTCCTCAGCTGATCTCAACACAGACAAAGCTCAAGTGTATCAACTCCTGTGAAACACATTACAAGCCTGGGCATAATTAACAGCCTTGGACAACAATGCTAATTAAATTAATTGTGGATACTCTCTCCTACTACTAACTCTTTGTTTAAATTACTTATTACAGCTTCAATCTCTGCCAAGCATGAGATTATTTGTAAGTGCAAAGCAGGCAAACATAGGTTTTGCCAGTTGACTCTCAAGGCTGACATTTTGCCTTCCTGGTCTCCTTCAAACTCGGGTCCGAACTTCCAGCTCAGCCATGCCCTCAAGCCGTTACTTGGCAGAGGCATGTGGAGGAGAACATATGACAAAAAAGGCAAGTCTGCAGGAACATGAGTCCAACAGGTCTTGAGATAGTCATGTTCCTGCTTTGAGCATCAGAATGGTATCCCAATGGGATGTCGAAGAGCAAGAAAATCACTGGTGGAGTGTGCTGAACTTGGTTTATTTGTGGCAAAGCTTTCCCCAATACAAGATCCAGCTCCCCAGCAGCTGAAGACTCTCAAGATCAGTTTATTACCACATTGTCCTGCCTTGTCAGAGCTCATGTTCTTTCACCAGAGCCATAAGATACCTGCTGTGCTCTCTACCCTGGATTTGTCCAGAGCACTATTTGTGCATCTCAGTAGTGCAACAGCTGGAACCCAAGTTAACCGGCACACACACATCACTGAGCCTGTATCATCTGACAGGCAGCCGCACAGCAGACAGTCTTACTCTTCACAGATCATGCTTCAGGTGCAAGAGAGACAGGTAAGCCCTCTCACTCAGCAGTGCTTGCCCTACTGTGAGGCAGGGCACCTTCTGAAAGAGTAGAGAGGCCTTATTTTCAAGGACTGCCACATGCTGCAGTCCTCCAGTTCAAAACACAACAAGGTGCAGGTCTTCAGCACCAAGCACAGGTGCTCAGTCACATCTATCCAAACTTCTGACAATCTGGGAAGCACTACTGGGACCAAAGCATGACACATTACTCAGGCAAAATGGCACTGGAAGAACGAAAAGCACATGGACTAGCCTATGCTGAAACCCAGGCGATGGATAACACTTAATACCACGGTCTACCTTGCAAGCTCCTTCAAGATGGGAATACATAAATATCTGCTTTGCTGCGGATAAACTGACCTCCACTCAGTGAGCCTACTTTTCTGGTTAAATCTCACATGAAACAAAATGTGTTCGTTACATATATATATATTAAAAAATATATGCATATATTATTTTTATATATATGTATGTGTATATATATAAATATATATGTATGTATACATACAACGGATTCAGCTCACTTCACTGTGAACCCAAACATAGTAACCTGTGACAGGCTTCAAGCTCTCTGTCAGAGCGCTCACACAAGCTCTACCCTAAGGCTGGCAAGTTCAGAACACAAGGAAAATGTTAGCCCTAAATGAAAGCAAGCTGTCCTGGCATGGGGTACCAGAATGAACTCAGCCACACATCACAATGCACGGACTGTTTCCTGAGCACTTACACACTTCCTTTGTCCTTCAGAAACACACACGACAAGCAATGAACAAATAATGCCAAAAGCTTTTAAAGCACCAAGGTTAAAAAGGAACATTTCAGCAACTGGGAAAAAAAACCCAAACCAACACCCTCTTAGGACACAAGTTTTGAAAAGCCACAAAGAGCAGCTTTTTTTTGCAAGCAGGCATGGTAATTCACCATCTGAGGGCATCACACCTTTGAGGGAAAGCAAGAGGCAGAGGTGAAGGAGAAGGAATCAAAACCCAGACAAGGCCTGTAGTAGTAATATTCATCCCTCAAGTACCGAAGACACACTGGGGTTCTGTTCAGCCACGCGGTAACTGCCCATCAACAGGGAAATCTACAGTGCTTGCCCAACGGTCAACAAAGAGGGCTTTTATGCTATTTTAAACAATCTGAAGTGTCTCAGTTAATGGAAGACCGGGCAATTGGCCCTCAACTATTTCTAATTGACTGGAATGATGGATGAAGCTAAAGGGAAAGCTGACCCACTGAACTTTTCCATACAAAGCTAGAAAACTGGAGGAGGTTGTAAACAGTATATAAGAACGAGAAGTGGGAGAGGCAGAATCCCAGAGGCTTTGCTCCTCTCAACCTGCTGTTAAGTTGTTGCAGACGAAGGAAAATAAAGAGCCTCAACTCAGAGCAACAAACAACAAAAAATACATGGGAAGGCCTAAACAAATAGGGTATTTTTCCCATGCTCTCCTCCCCTTTCTTCAGCAGCTACTTAGCCCTGCCATGCAAGCTGCTCCTCTGAATCAGAAAGGGCAATTTGTCACTTTGACAAGTAAGACATCTCTCAGGGCTCTGTGCTGCCTTGCCTTGCTTTTCAGATTGTCTGGGTGTTAACCAAAGATGGCACGACATTACACGTCAGTCAACAGATGTGATCATATATACTTAAAACTTAGGTGTTAATCAGTCCCACTGCACTGAAGATAAGGCTTGGCAAATCACACATGCCCACTGATTTTCAGAACAAAACAATCACTAGTTTGCAAAAGGGCAATACTGCTGCAGTGTGATAGGGCAGTCTGCTGACCTAAACAGCTCCCAGAAGGAAGAGTGAAGACACAAATTCCCAGGTAGGGAAACAGATGCACGCGCAAGAGGTTCAAATTCACAGCGATTACCTTCAGGCATCTTACTGAGGTATCTAAATGCACAATAACTTAATTCTCCCTCTTTAGCCGAAGAGAAGAAAAGGAGCTTCAGAGAACAGTTCAGAACTTGCACAGATTGAATCACCTCCTTGGACACATCCAGCTCTTGCCACCAACCCCGCAGAAAAATGATGCCAAGCACTTGAAGAAAGCATTAAACCTGGGGGATAAATCCAGGCCTCAAAGCCCCAGAGTAAGAAGTCTGTGGTAGAACCCAGAACTGGATAAAAGTGTCATAATTCATCATTCAGTCCTATAGTCACAAGCCCTTTTTCTCCCGCAGCGGTTCACAAAGATCAAGTAGTAAAACAGAACCATAAGACATTATTTTAAATATGAAAATGCTAAAGGCTAAAAAAGAGAAAGAGTACCTGGCACAGAGAGTGTTAGGGCTAGCCCAATTTCTCTTAGCTGTCAACAGCATGGCTAGTGTTTATCTGGAAAGTTCACCCACTAGAAAACCATACTAGATGGTGAGAAACAGTCATTTCCTGCTTGAGATGTGTACAGAGTTCACTGTGATTTGCCAAATTACCTCCCAAAGACAGACACAATGCAAATCTGCATGCCTAATCTTTGACCAAACCCAGAACAGACCTGACTCACTTCCGCTCTGCAGTCTTTCAGATGAACTAATCAGGGCTGAATTAGGGAGATTTTTGGTAGGATGAGGTTACATCATGGATTACAACTTTCCAGCAAGCTTTTTCCTTCACCTGCTGCCTCCTCAATGCTGGCATTAAGGGTGGTGTAGGATGACTCATTTGTACATTCCTTTCTGCAACACAGGCATTCAGCTTTCATTTCTTCGTGGCCCGGCAGAGTTTGGGTCATAAATTAAACTGATGCATGTTATTACCAGACATCAAGTCCACAAACTGACACGCACATAGATGCCAGAAGTACAAGCTAGGTTCTTCATCTAAAACAAAAAACCAGAACTGTCAGTTTGGCAGAGTAACTGCAGAAGTTTCTTTGTGCAGCCCGTGTGCGCCAGACTCTACCCCAGCCACTTAAACACGACTACTGCGTTAAACAAAAATCTGCCAGACCCAGCCTGTCAGTTTTAGGCCAACACACACACGCCCACTTGCACTGCTACAAAACTACCTTAGAGAATTGCTTTTTTAACTTCAAGGCAGATGTAAAGCGTCTCTGCATTCTTTGAATTACGACCAAGACTGGAACATTATTTGGGTGTCCTAGCAGCCTTATCAGATCAGCGTTAAATTTAACTAAGCTCCTCACCCACCCATGATCTTGCCTGTAGAACCGAACCACACACACAAAAAATGCTTATTGTGGCAAAACACATCACCACAACACAAAAGGCAAAAACCTCACTTTCATAATCTTGATGGAGACAGAACAAATGGATCACTGATGAATTTTTAAGCCTGCATTCTAAGTAAGCCATTTCTTAAATAAATTATTTCTCATCCTAGGGAATACAAAGTGATTGACAATAAATCTAATCACCCTTCTCATAAGTAATGTGCTTGCCAATGTCTCCCACTATTAAGCACTAAAGCAGGTTTGCTTGGCACCAAGACAGCAGGACCGTTTCAGTCTAAACAGCTCCCCAAGAGATTACCCATGTTAAATCACATTCAACTCCTTCCCTCAGCATCTTGCCCCCACCCCTCCCTCTCAGCCCCACACCAAAAGCCACCGTCTAAACAAAGCATAGCTGGAAATGTGTGAATGGCCTCTAACAGAGGCCCAGCTCTCAGCATTATGTGAGCAAAAATGTGACAGCAGGAAAGAAACTGCACGGGAGGTCTCTGGATGACTACAAGTCCATCTGAACACCAACAGACACAAACAAGCCAACAAAGCCAGAAGCCACTCCATCTGCCGTAAATCTTCCAAATGGAAGAGATTCCAGCAGCAAGACAATTTTCCCAAGTGCAATGCAGTTACTGTGCTGTTTCAACTGTCCAACAGTTCACCAGGGGCTTTTTTTTCCCCAGGAGTCCATTTACTTCACACATTCCCTCTGTATTTCCTAAGACTGAGTGAGCTTACAGCTGCTGCTTGTACATGGACAGACCTCTCAGACTAGAGAGACAGCAGGCAGACTTGCTAAACCAGTATTAAGCTAGCAGTGAACAGTAGAAAGAGAAAAACACAGATGAAAAACACATGGATATCAGGGAAAATGCTGACTAAGAACATTTCATCGTCACTACTGGGACAACCTGTTCAGCTCTCCTATCTGCAGCTGGGGAAGGATGTGGATAGACTGGTGTGGGCTCAGAGCACAGTTAACAGCCACAGGGAAGGATCAGCAAGATCTCTCATCCCATCCTAAGGTCCAAGCTATTCACCTGAAAAAGAAGCTCACGGGGCAATTTGATTAGCCTTCAGGTGCCTGAAGGTGTAACGGAGAGTTGACAGAGAACCCTTCAGTCTCAGAGCTAAAGGTTTAACTCCTCCCAGGGTCAGGAAGCCAAGGGCTGACAAGACACACACATTCTGTTTTAATTTTTACACAGCAAGTGTAAATGGCAAAATAAGAAGAACTTAAATGCTAAAATTTGTCACCACTTAATAGGTTGGGCCTCTTTAGTTTTAAGAAATACATTTCTATTTAATAAGACACCTGATAACGGAGAAGTTCTCACGGGCATGCACACAAGTACACTACTTGACTGCGAAACTGCTCCAAAGATTTCTCAGCCTAAGAACTATTTATTTGAAGTTTCTGAAGGACTGCCCCCAGATCCCCTCCAGCAAGTGATACTTAAATGCAGTAAAAAGATTTCTGTCAGCCAGGGAAAGGGCTAACAAAGGTTCCTCATTCAGCGATGGCTTTGGCTTCCCCTTCTCCCACCAGTGAGTCATGGGGAACCCTGGGCCTGGGGTACTTCAAACAAGGCCAAGTTGCAACCAGGGCACTGTGTCAACTCAACTGAGAAACCACCATCACCGAAGAACAACTGTCTGTTCCATCCCCAACCTCTGCTATATACAGCACAGCTCCTAAAACCTGTTGTGCCAGGGTAACCGAGATGGCTGCATAATGGGAGAAACCATTGACTGAGGGAAAAGGGAAGGGGGGGAGAAGAGATGAGATGAGGGTCATTTATCCAGTCAGTCACCTACAAAATAATGGGAAGCCACTGGGCCCATTCAGTGTGTAAGAAGAATGCTAAATATCGACAGTCAGGCGATTTAGAAAAGGCTGCTATTACTGCATGATGAGCATGAACCTCAGAAAGGAAAAGTCATTTAAGCTAAGGTGGAAGTCACTTGCCCAGAGGTGTCTGCACTAGAAAAGTAAAATAGCTTTCAATTTCTTAGTTAAATGTGTTCATCCTTTTTTCATTTTACACCAGCTCTGGCTCAGTGTTCCACACGCTTGCTGGAAGTCTGCATCTCTGCGACCACTCCTATTGGCACTGTGCGTCCAGTCAGCATTTCTGGATTAAAGCCTCTGAATTGTAACATCCAACCACACTTGCCAGCCGCCCAGTCATTTACATAGCATCTTTATTATTTCTTCTGTTGTGCATTTGTTTGGCACTTCACAATGGAACTCGCATATGATAAAGATGAGGACAAGGCGCAGCCCTAGAGCCAGAGATCTAAGTCACTTTCAAGCAGGTTCTCAGAGGGTTTTTCAGAGCCATTTCTCAATTAAACACAGAGAGATAACATGAGATCATGCAGCATGAAATTAAGGACTTGCTATTAGCGAGCATCAGTCAGAAAACTAGATCCACACGCTGAACGCTGTACTTCCCTACGGTTGGCAAGACAGGCTGTGAGTCTGCTGTTTCAACCCAGGGATAGGACAGCTGTGTTTCACTCCCACTCCTTGTAGCAGCGTTATGCCAGGAAAGGGAATTTCTAATTTTCCTAAAGGAGCCCCGCCAAGCTGAGGCTGCAAATAGGATACGGTGTGTTAGTAAACTTCTAGCCAGCTCGCACGCAGCCTGGCCAAAACCCTTCAAAGTGCCTAATTCCCTACGTACGCGCTGGCAGCAGTGACTACCTCGCTTCCAGGCAAACCAGCCTCCTGTGTCAGTCCCCCTTTGTTATTCAGGATTGTACAGCATATGCCACTTTCTTCCTTTTTGGCAGAATATGCAGCATCCAGGTAACCAGCCTTACTTTCTCTCCTTCATTTGACAGGAACTGCTTCCATTAAGACTCACCTCCACTACTAAAGTTTTGGCAGAAATAAACTGGTTCTTACGGTGCAACGCCTGTGAGTGCATCAGAGGAACGCAGTTCTCCGTACCCCATTAGCACCCCTTGTATCATCTGTACACACAGCTGTCTTGCTCCACATTCAAAGGTAGTTGTTTTATTTTTCTTCCAACTCTTCACCAAGAACAAACACGTCAGTCATCCCACGATCCTTTTTTAAACAGTTGGACAGGCTCAATCAGTACTGCTCTAGCAACAAGCAGCCCAGCACCAGCAATGAACATCCTTCCCATAAACAGTGCTCCTGCTCCCAGCATTCACCCTGGAAACACCATCAGAAATACACATTTGCAGGGTTCATTCTCCTTTGGTTTTCAGCTTCTGGCTCTACCCTGTTTCTAAGGAGAGAATGGTGCCTTTGAACACCTTTCCAGAGTCCCCAGCAGCAGAAAAAACATCTCCAAA